GAAGCCCACAGCAACGGCGTGCAAAGACAACAAAAGCAGCAACAGCAGCTGCACCGCGAATGGTAAGAAGGAGCTGCCGTCGGGAGATGCAGCGCTGCCTTCTACTCCCTCAGCAACCATCGCAAGACACACCAGCAGCGCCAACAGCAACAGCACCAGCAAGGGAAGAAGCCAATCGGAGCTGGTAGGAGGCACAAGAACCACGGGAAGTAAACAAAAACGTGTGCCCAGTGCACTTGCGTATAATTCAGTCTAATTAAGGCGTCTCTATGCCGACTACAGACTCTCTTAATCTCCTCAGTGCACGCATCGTTTGTAACTGTAGGCCCAGGACCGGCCGCTGTGTGCAGCGAAAGCAAGAGCACCACTGGTTGTAGTAATGGCCCCAATACTTAAATTGAGACGCACAATTGAAATATTCTGCATTTTCTTGTTCAATTCAGCTTTATTTTGTGAATTATAAGTAATTATAGAGGGTTCTGCAGGGGAGGCAGAGCCTGCCGTATGGTGTATGTAGTGAACAGCGTGACGAGCGGTTACTACGTATAATCCTAAGTAGTTCAACCTGGTGCACACTCAGCACTTATAGGCTAGACTCAGCTAATCTTTGCTAATACCACTTGAATAAGCAAATAATCACTCTTAAAGCACAGTCGAGTCCATATTATCCAGGGAAAAACCCAGAATAATTGAACTGACCGGCTCCCCCCCCCATCCCCCCCGGGGAGGGTCAGAACCTAGGCAAAAGCGTTAGCCTCACGGTCAGCCCTGTGCTTCGTGTAGGCACGTACACTCCTAACTCATTTGACCTCTTTTCTAACTCAAGAGTTCCAACATATAGGTGTATTTATATATCTCACTGTTCCCTTTCGTGAAACTAGGCATTTAAGGTTACCATATGCGCTCTACTGTAGTGCGCGTGCACTGCAGTGTGAGGGGTCGTTTGACAGGAGGAGGGGTGTTTAGGGTAGGGGCTCGGCTGCTACAGGTAAGCCCTTAAAAGAAAAGGTAGACTCATGTTTAAACGCAAAATGCAGGTTTTATTCGATGGGAAGCATACAGGCAGTTGCAGTAATTGAAGGAGCAAGCCGCCAGACTGCGATGGAAGGAAACAATTGTATGGCAAATTATGGCGTAGAGTTTCTTCTACGAAGCGGCATCTAAACCATCGCTACTTCAGGTGATGATTTGACGTAACAAGCGGTAGAAAAGCGCAAGATCCTTGCACCCACATATTCGAGCGTGTGGTGTTGACGGAAATAATAGTAGTGTTGAAACTGTCAGCGGCTTGGGTTAATGTTTCCAAAATGGCTTTAGGAGTGTCCCATGTGATTGACCTTAATCGAGAAATCCCATTAAGTCTTATGGCATTGAGGTTCCTAAGAGGAGATCATTCCTACGGAGCAGTTCGCATCTATTCATTCCCTCCTCTTAGTGTCCTGTGCTCAGCGGCAAAAATGCATGAAGCTGGTGATGCTGAGGGGATGTGTTTGCCTCTTATGGGCTGAACCAATCTGTAACGAGATTCCTCGGAATCCTCCGAAGAAGGTTGTGAGCTGCACTCGAGTCAAAAATTCTTATGAGACTTCGCCAGCTAAACACCCGTCTCGCCCAGCGCGCTACACTCAGCGTCTTGGAGCTGAAATAAAGGAGGCCGCGGGGAAATTCGTTGCCACGCATGGCAGACTTTGAATTGCAACCCAAAGCAAATAGTGTTGCAGGGTGGGCAACAAGAGTGTACAACCAGTCCCGGGTTTGCTGCATGCGCTAAGACAATGACAATTTTTGGACCCTTGATTGCTCCTTATCCTGCGACGTGCATGCATTTAGTGGTAGACAGACTAACTCCGTACAGATCTTCCTATGCATCCCCCACATGCCGCTGAAGCACCACTTGGGTGCCTTGTAGACCAAAACGCAGCGACGAGACGAAGCTCCCTGCCTGTCATCCTGTAGAACTAGGCGCAGACACTACGCCAACGACTGGACTGGAAGATTGCACCATCTTATTCTAGCTCCATTCGTCAGGTCCACTTCGCAGCCTGTGCAGAGTAGCGCGAGCAACTCCTAAGCAGTACGAAATCGAATACATACAGATTTGACCTATGGCATATCGGCAGCTGCGGCGGTCACCTTTTTTGGGCCTACCCTAGCATTGCAGATTGCATGAGGGTTCCACTGTGTCCCTGGTTACTTTGGTTGCTTGGCGCCGGTGCTGTTGTAAGCTTCCTTCTGTTACACCTTCCAAAGCGAGACTGGCACCCGCATACCGCGCATCCATAGGTTCAATATCAGGGCCCTGCCGATGCCTGCTCCCTGGCTTCCCATCTAAAGAGGTGTAACGCGAGACTTCAATCTTATCAGAGGAGTACTACTCGCTGCTATGTCACTAGGACATCGCAGGTCAATGGCTAAATAGCTGGGAAGCGGGGATGAGGTGGGGACCTGCGATGAGTTGCAACTCACCGCGCTGCAGTTTAAAGTGTGCAAAAACCGCCGTAAGCAAGCACGCGCAATATATCCTGGATGTATGAATCGATACTGCAGACTGTTGCTGGGAAGCCTTGTCTGCGTATCTCTTGGCCACTAGAACCGGGTATGGGTTCATTTTGAACATTTTAGTCTGAATTGACAAAAGCTGCACACTGTATAATGGAAGTGTTAAAAGAGTGGAATTTCTTCTCTTCTTTGCGTAGATATTCAGTCAATTTTGGCAGGGTCAAGCCTTTAGCATAGCAGGGCTGCCCTCAGGAGGATATCCCTTCTGTGGGTCCTTGATGCAGAAGTTCCGAGTCTACCGTTGGACTTCCGCTCACCAGTGAATCATATATCTGGATGGAAAGTTCTATGGATAGGTTCCCTTGCTTAAGCTCCTTCATAGCTACCGTAGCCTGTTCCCATGCCCAGCAAGGAATGAGCCCGTGTCGCGCCGCATGTCAGGAAACCTCCATATTCAACGTGTTCTCCGTAAAAGTAATATTTTTGCTGAGATACCGCCAAAATTGTTGTGCCTGCCCTTTTGATAACAAGGCTGTACAGAGCATTTGCAAACTCTTCTGGTGATTGGTGGAGACACAGATAGAGCTCTGCAGAGGATTTTGCTGCCCCCGCACCGGTGCGTCCCTCATATCTGGGCTGTCGGAGAAGTCAGAGTCACTGTTCACGAATTGGCTTTCCTCTGGAAACATTTTCGGTTAGATGAGGCGCAAAGAATGCGCCTGCTCCAACTCGGCATGTCCTCCAAATAATGCGCAGCGGGACTTCTCGCTTGGGTGGCTATATTCGTTTCTCGCACCTGCCCCCAGTAACTGTGCTGTGGTATCAAGTGCAACGGGAGTCCTTGACCCTAGCTTCTGACTGCTGTGCAATGTAGTGAGCCAATATTACCTCATAACTACTCCTTAGAAGCTGCTGACCCCCCTAATTTCTCTATCTCCAAACGTCCTGAGCCCGGCGGCCCAAGCTGCTGGAGACGCGAGGGTGGAGGCCGCTTGCCATGGAAGTAACGTACCTTGTCTTAATTCAAGACGCATAGCAGCCGCCGCGCTAGCATAGATTAGCCCTCCCAACTATACGCATGAACAATGTGTACCACTGTTGAAAACCTCCGCTTGTGTGCCTGTTGCATGGTAAGACCGAGTAAGGTTTCATGCACAAACTTCATTTGCCACCACGGGCCAGGCCCTAGTGAACACACTAGCCACCACCGCGCAGACTGAGTCCATTCGTTGCTGCGCGGACAAACAATGTAGACAATTTATGGAGGCTTGTTCTTGAGTGCCAGTTGCCTACTAAGGCCAAGCAAGGATTGGTGAGCCAAGTTCAGGCGGACTTCCCAACTTCGGACAGGCCTTGCTACATACTGCATGTACTTCATACACAGTGGAGGTGGGTGAAAGACACATTGGGAACTATGCAAAAGTTCAAGACTTAGACAAAGCTGCAGAGAAACAAAAGAGAGGAAAACTTCAGTTAGGAACAGCTTCGTTATAACTGCATCCACCAAGAAGACACCGGTGGCAATCTCTGGGGCCTGACGGGCCAGGGCTTCTTCTGCAGGCGGCTTCATATAAGCTAGACTTTCGAATTCCTTGTCCTCAAATTTAATGCACTGAAACCTTTTAAATGTAATGGTTGCGATGTTTTTGCGTTTTGGGGGCAATAACAAACTCGAAGAAGGTGTAGAGTTTTGCTGCTGCTACTGTAGGCACTGCTCGTTCAGGGCCCCCAGCAGACAGACACGCAAGCAACAGCAGCTGCTGCAGTGTCACTAACCCTCTCTGCAGTGTGCCGAACACCTTTTACGTTTCCTTTAAATAATAGATTTATTTCGTTGGAGGTTCGTGAAGGCGGAGCAGCAAGGAAGACCTTCAGCTTCTTGATAGCGTGTGAGCCGCTGCTGCAGCGAGAGAGAGGATTTGTGCTCGTGCCGCCTCTCCCGTTGAGTATATCGTGGGGCACCACTTTCTCTTTTCTTTGCCTTTTTACACATCTCTTAGAGGCAACCAGTAGCAGAGTGTGCCGCTGCTTCCCTCTCGCTGCCGGTCCACCCTGCAGACCTGTTGCTCCTCCCCATGCGTTAGAGGGAGAACAGGCGATCGTTCTTTCTGTGTAGGTAGCGGCTACATATGTTAGTTGCTTGTTTCTTTATGAACAAGCGAATGGTGCTAAAATTGTGCTGCAACTGCCTACTGCAGTTTCCTCCTGTATATAGGAAAACTCCTGGAGAAGGGACGTCTGTTCAGGTCCTAACTGAAGGCGTTCATGCTGCTGCATGCATGCATGCGTTGCAGGTTATTGCAAAAAGAGAGGGCAGCTCTGCTGACTCTCGAGTGCATTGGAGCCCGGTCGGTGGCGCTGAGTGGGGGAGGCTTCTCGGTCTCTCCCGCCCGGTGGACTTAGGGCACGGCACGACACGTTGTCATTTCTTCTTCTGAATCCTTCTGGTGCACCATCAATAAAGAGTTAGAGTTATCAACACCATTTTGAAGGTTACGAAGATGCCGCCCAAGAAGAAATCTCTTCTCAAAGTCATTATACTTGGCGATAGCAGGTAGGTCAGGGCCTTCCCAAACCCGAGACTCGCAGTAGGCAACTTGATGCGAGGATAGCGGTGTTATGCACGCATTATATTGTATACAGTTCCAGTGCTTTCATTTGCACAATTATTATGCCGTTCCATATTAGTGTAAATTCTATTTTGCACTTGCCTGCTGCTTGCGATGATGAATTAGTATTGCTGACAGCTTGCCGTGAATTGCGGTGTCTCAGCGTTGGGAAGACTTCTCTGATGAATCAATATGTGAACAAGAAGTTTTCAAATCAGTACAAAGCAACAAGTGCGCCTGTAACCGCTTGTAAAACCCTGTGTTCCTGCACTAGTAGGCTTTCCCTGTTTTTGCATGTATGACGTGCTTGTACATCTTAGTGCAGTCCTGCTGGAGCAGTGCCGTGCGCTCAGTTGGTGCGGACTTCCTCACGAAGGACGTTGTCATTGACGACAAAGAAGTGACGATACAAATATGGGATACAGCAGGTGAGACCCACAGCGAACCTCCTGCAGTCCTACCATTCTTGAAGCCAACCGAACGTTCAGCACTCATTCGTGAGGACGCTGCTTAACCAAAGGCTGATGATCTTACGAAACACAGACGAACAAACAGTCTTGATCATCCCTAATTGTGTAGCAATTTAAAACGAACTAATCTCTGGCTGCTCGGGCGTGTGTATGTGTTGCACGTGCGCTGTTGAGTTGTATAAATGCAACCACCGCCTTTCTTGGACGTTCGTTCCCGCTTTTTTGCGGGCATGACTCCTGCAAATGCATCGATCGTCTCTCATTTTCCCTTATTGCGACTGCTGCTTTCCAGGGCAGGAGCGATTTCAGAGTCTGGGCGTCGCCTTCTACCGCGGGGCGGACTGTTGCGTGTTGGTGTTTGATGTGACAAACCCCAAGTCGTTCGACAGCCTCGAGTCATGGAAGGAGGAATTCCTTATTCAGGTGGGACTATTGAGACAATAATACCGCTCATGACTTTCGTACATACACGAGATGAAGATGAAGGTTCTGTACTGTGGGTATTAGCACGCATAAGTGCATTCCATTGCTGTCTTTGAAGGGCACGTAAAGTCACTGTTCGCCGCATTATTTAATACCCTGGTGGACGCTGCTGCATTGTAAATGCTGCTGCTTGCTTATCGCTGTTCTACCGCTGCTTTTGCTGCAGTCGTCGCCTTCAGACCCGGACGCCTTTCCGTTTGTTGTTCTGGGTAACAAAGTCGATGAAAGTGAGGGATCTCATCGTATAAACATATTTATGCTTGCTAGATTAGAATTGCAATAAATAGGGAGACAGCTATCAGGAAGCAAATACTGCTTGTATGCATGAATGTTGTTCAGCGCTGCGAGCTTCAGGTTTTTGTGTTTTCCTCAGAAGACAAGCGGCGCGTATCCACGGCAAAAGCTGAGGCCTTTTGCGGCTCTAAGATCAGTTACTTTGAGACCAGCGCAAAGCAGGCAACGAACGTTAGCGCAGCGTTCGAGGAGATAGCGCGGAAAGCGATGCAACATGAGACGAAACAGGAACAGATGTGAGACAAGCGGACAATAGCAACACATCGTGCATGAAGCTATTGAGAATTCCACGAAGTGCTGACATTGCTTCTGTTGTGTGTCCCACAGCTGCAGTTGACAAGGCTTGTCTACTGTAGTTTACTGACCGTTGCCTGCTTCGTGCTCAGCATGTGCTCAGCATACGGGTGTTGCGCGTATGCTGACGAGAAAATATTATGCTAAGGTGCTGTCCCGTGATTTTTTGCGTCGGTGCTGCAGCTATCTGCCCGAGACACTCACTCTCACGAACCAAGAGATCCGCCCTCAACATGTTCAGAGCAGCGGGGGCTGCTGCTGACTTGCTGCTGGTCTGCTGCTAACCTGCTGCTGGAGGAGCTTGGCGCCTCACATCAGTTGCAAGCCCAGAAGGCGTATGAGTATCGGCTGTTCCAGCGGCCTGTTTTGTTTTGCTGCTTGTTGGCGGTGTCTTTCTGTGTGCTGCTACTTCCTCCTCTCCCTCCTGGCTACGAAGTGCATGCAGTGCATGAGCTGTATGCACCCAACCACAGCAGCTCTGGCTGCTGCTGCGCAGGCACTGTTGGGGTGACTTCTTCACAGCGTTCAAAATGTTGTTTCCCCCGCTCTGTTTGCTACAGCGGATGATAGTATTTCGGGATTCTGCTAGCGGTGTGAACAAAGACAGACAGCTTTGTTTTGCTTCACATCTGTGCCCATACACATGGTAGTATGCCTTACAACAGAACGACGAACTGGCAGAAAAGTGCAAAGCAGTAGACAATCGTTTCTAAGTGTAGATGCGCCTGAAATGGTCAAAAGCTAGAGGCTCAGCTAATAGGCGAGATGATGGATGCAGCCATTATGGAGGTAGTCAAGGCTGCCATAGTTAATTGCCTACCCCCCAGCGAGAAGATGATGCAAAGCAGAAGGTGCACCTATACGTCCATTGCTTAAGTGTGGTGAAGGCACTAGCTCCTCGATATCGCTTATGTAGGTAGGACGCTCATCGTGTGGGGGCTCGCACTTTGAGTACTAGCAAATTATTTTCCCCGCCCCTTTCTCACTGTCTCGCCTTTACGGCAGTCACTACAGAGTGGAAGGATGTTCAAGCCGGCGCAATATGGAAGGCTGAAGGGAAGCGGTTTTGCTCTGGTGCATGCACTTTGTTCTGTTCGGTAGCGTCCACAGCCAACCGATATGTGCAGGACGCCCTTTTACAGTACAATTGTCTTACGATTGAGAATTGAGGAGTCCTGATTCAAATAGGTTGTCCCGTCGTGGCTTTTGTCTTGGGTGGAAGAAGACAGAAGACAGACGGTCCGCACTACGCACACTAAGATGTGTGAGGGCAATAGTGGCGTTTCCACCGGAGAGGTAGCTACAGGGTAGTATGTAAAGCAGACAGACACTAACATTGGTGGCAAAAATCGGGAAATAGTCTAGAAACGAAAGTTCCAGAGCTGCTGTTTTTCAGTGGTGTTGCAGCTGCACCGTAAAGAATGGTACAGGCTGCAGCGACGGAGGATGAAGTAACCAACTGGTGTGATTTGAACACATACAAAGATGAAACTGTTGATGATTTGTCTTATATATCACTGAAACTTCTTTTCTTGTGGAAGGGATGAACAGCAAACAAACTCGTGAGGCGGTCAAGCCCTGGACTGGTCCACGAGCACAACGCACTCAGCGGTCGATAGCCTGTCGCCACCTCTTCAAACGCTGATCCTGCTGCTGGAAATTAGCGAAAACCTCGAAACAGGGCTGTAAACCTCTATTCTCCACATTTCCCTCGTCGCTTGTGAATTGAATCCCTCAGCTTCTCTCTATGAAGTGATTCTGGGCAAGCTTGGAGCGCTGAGTTGGTCGCCTCGGGCGGCCTCAGCTGCGCATTGCCTACAGATTTTGGCGACAATCCCATATTGAATTTCATCCCTTTCCTAGAAGTATCTTCTTCTTGTCTGCGCTCTGCAAGGCAGCACCTCTGTTCGGCTACGCGGGGCCTTTATACGGGAGTGGAGTCTGTGTACAGCCAATCGACTTGCAGCAGCGGCAGCGATGGCCAACTTGTTAAAGAGCAGGAGGGTTTCGTTTCCCCATTTTAGGGGTGTACGCGAGTTATGAAGCAGCAGACACCGGGCAACACCTCCCCAGTCCCTGAGGCGCGGGCTCTGCCGTTCACTTTTCCCGTCCAAGCATACAGACCGTTTCAGCGACAGCCTCCCCAGCGTCGTGCACCTCCTGCTACAGCAGAAGGAGTTCGCTTCAGAGGTGCTACAGTAAGCGGGGAGTCAGTCGCAGACGGTCTCGTTTCACCTTCCAACTTTAGGGGAGGTCATCAGGTGCGAAGATCTAACAGCAGCGCTACAGCTGCCCCGGTTTTCTGTCAAAGACGCTCAACTCAAAGAGGTAGGAGGGGCATTGGCCTCCCCAAGATGTCTGTACACCACCGCGTCGCTGTTGCAGACTCGCAGGGCTTCTTGCGTGCCAAAGTTGTTGCAAAAGAACAGCTATGTTCTGAGGTCATCGGCGAAAACCAGTCGCTGATTCGGCAGCTGGAGGAGACGAAAGCTCAGCACAGGCAAACTGTGGAGCGCCTGAAGGCGTACGTTCTACCCAAAGTGCATCTGTGCAGGTTAAAAATGCCTAGTAAAGCTTGTCTTGGAGCCCGCCCGTTTGAACTTCGTTGCATATATATGTATGGAGTCGCCGAGTAGAAGACTCACTGTAGTCCACAGACGGACTCCAGTCTCTCCTTCTGTATAGCAGTCAGATGCTGCTGCTGTTCCTGTTTCTTTTGGTGCTGCTGGCGCTGTGCATCTGCAGGGAGGCGTCTGCAGTGGTGCAACAGCTACTGGCAGACACTGCTGTCTACAGAGACACTCATGAGAACCTTCTAAGGAAACTCGAAATACATGAAAGACAGGCAGAGAACGAAGCTCGACGCGCACACCAGGCAGAAAGGCGCTGCCAGGATGTGGAGGACAAACTGCTCGTTCTGAAGAGGCAAGCAGTAGCAGCAGCACCATCAGCAACAGTAGCAGCAATAGCATCAACAGCAGGCGCAATGGAAGTAACAGTAGTAGCAGCAACAGCTCCTTAGCGAAATCCGCATTTGCCGTTGGTTGCATGCTTTGCTAACTGCTGGTGCTATTTGCTGTTGCTGTGCTTGCTGTTGCGGGCTACGAATGCCGCTGGCCCCCTTTCCCCTGTCTGTGGGTTATCCCGTTCTTAATAGAAGGCATATGTACTTTATAGCAGTTGCTTCATCCATTTCTCTGCATTGTTTCGCGTTTGCTCAGATTTGTTTCGGGGCTGCAAGAGAAGCAGAAAGCTCTAGAAGATGAGGCGCATGCATTTGCTGATGCCTTCCGCACTCTCAAGGCAGCTGTCCGCAGATTTGCTGAGGGTCTCGCCGCATGCAATGTGGGTTGGGAATAGAGCAACCAAATGGGAATGATAATGCAGAGGTAAAGGGCAGAGAAATGGATGCCTCCGAACGTTTGTACATAGACCCCAAGCTCTGTCCTTCTGCTTACTGTCACTGCAGTTCTCTGATGATGAAAAGGCAACAGCTGAGCAGCTATCCGAAATGGTATCTCTGGGGATTAACCGCATGCAGGCAAGCCGGAACTCAACCAAAGCAGCAGCTGCTTCTGCTGCTGCTAGGTTTCAGTCAGCAGAAGGTGCACCAGCAGAGTTTAGTGCTGCATTGCTTCAGAAGCTTGGATACTTGGCGTGAAAGAGAGGAGTGACCCGGCTGCATGCTGCATGCTGCATGCTACCTATCGGGCTTCGTGTGTCTTCGTTGCCTGCTTGCCTGCACGGTGCCGCAGCTGGAGCTGTCTGAAATAGAGGCGGCGTTGCTGGAGAAGGGTTTTGTGAAGGAAGTCAGCGCAAAAGGCATTTTGCAGGTATGAGGAATTTTGCCAGTTTGGGTGTATGTTCATCTGGATTAGCTGTTTGTGTGTTTCTGTGGCCCCCAATTTTGTGGCCCCCACTGAGTACAGGATTTTCAAGTAGCTTTCTGCAGCCTTGTCTGCGTGAAAACAATTAATTGAAACTGATAAATGGTCTTTTCATATGCCAGCGAAGTTGAACTTTGGTACAGAGTACCACCATTTGGCTTTCCCGTCTATTTCTTCGTTCGTGCATTACTGGACAAGCACATCCTTCTCTACTATACCCAATTGCCTTTAAAGAAAGACATTTGCTTCTTTTGCCAAACATCTCCTCAGAGCACTTTGCTTAAGGAGCAGCCAGCCTCCATGGTGCCGGCAACGGAGGCGTCGCGGTTGCAGCGCGAGAAAAAGATGTGGGAAAACAAATATGTGGTAAGGCTCAAGGTGTACATATACTTGAATGCCCACACGTTTGTCGGCATCTTTGGCACCCATTCAGTGCTCTTCTACTGATGCTGCTGCTGCAGAGGGTCGAAAAGGAGATGCGACGTGTGCAGAAACAACTCGAAGAAGTAAAGAAGGAAAATTCGAGGAAAGCAGATGTTCTGCTGAAACTGCGGCTGAAGGACCATCGCCTCAAGTATCTACAGTCTCCTGAGCCCCTAAACCCTTAATAATTTGCGGTTTCATGTTGTTAGCTGTGTTTGCTGTCTTAGAAGCAATGCTGCAGTGATGTCCGAAGGGCTGAATTTGCCTTGCACGGATGCGATATCCTATGTATGGAGGTGTACCTATAGAAGGCTTTGTCTGCTGCAGACAATCGTCTGCAGGCGCAGTTCAGTTCTTTTCGCCTTCTCTTGGGCATTCTATGGTTGCTTTTCTGTTTTACTCCGTTGCATACGTGTCTGCTCTGTACAGGGGGGGGCTGTGTAGGGGCGTTGCGTGCTGTGTGCTGCTGCTTAAGCCTGTCGGGTGCTGTCGATTGCTGCCTGCTGTTGACTGTTGCTGGCTGGTGCTGCTTTATTTGTACACAGGCAACAGGACGCTGAGTTTGCTACAGCGAAGGCAAAGGCACGGGAGTTGCAGACTCAACTAGAAAACCTCCGAAAAGAGAGGTGCCTCATTTATCTCTTTAAACTTGCCTTCTATCCTTCCTGTGTTCCCCCTACTGCCCTCTCCTTGCCTGTTTCCACTGTGCAGACAGCTCTACGGTATGCATCAACATTGTCCCTCCCTTTCTCTTTTACTGGGGCTGGCTGCACGCATGTGCCATTCTTGTTTGCTGCAGAGACACCTTAGCCGCTTGGAAGGCCTCTCATCCTATTTACAAAGGGTATCGCGTCGACGCTGCTGCTGATGGGAGATCCTCGCGTTCGGGGAGCCGCAGGGGTCCCCATGCTTCGCCAGTCGTCTCAACGGCCTCTAGGGCTAAAGAGCCTGCAGCAGTTACTGCTGCAGAAGCAACTCGAGGTCCTGTTGGTGCAACGGGAGACTCAACAAGCCTGTTAAAGTTGCTCGCTGTTGACTCACGAAAGGAGGCGCCTGGAGAGGCCGCATTGAGAAGGTCTTCTTCGGGTGTCTCCTTAGCCAGCAGCAGAAGAGTCCCTTCTGTAGCATCTGCTGGCTTGTCTTCTAGTGCTGGATTGAAGCTACCGAAGGCACACACCCCCAGTGCTCCGGAGCTGCTGCAGCAGCAGCCAGCAGCAGCAGATGGTTCAGCGAGAGCAGCAGCAGCCATCAAGTCCTTAAGCTCGCCAGCGCTTCCTGCTGCAGGCGACAGCGGCCCGACAACGTCTCTCAGCCGCCAGACATCGCGACAGTTCCTCGAAGCAGCAGGAATGAAGCTGCTTAGGCGCAGCAGCAGTAAGTCTGCTGCAGCACCTGCCTCAGCACCTGCCTCAGCACCAGCATCAACTGGACACAGCACCGAGGGAATAAGCGATGCCCCTCGTGACGTGCTGAGCAGCAGCAAAACCCCTCAAAAGACAAGAGGGAGGAGCGGTGTTCAACCAGGAGGAGACGGAAATGACAGGAAACAGTCGCCGAAGGGCGCTGGCGGAGGCAGCTTCACCCAGCAGGTGACATTGACGTTGCCTCGAAGTCCGCGCTCTGTAGTGACGCCCGTGTTTGCTGCTCCCCCTGCAACAGCAACAGCAGCAGAGGCCGCAAGAGGGAGAAGAACACCAGCAGCAGAAGCAACACCTGAAACTGGGATAGGGGGAGCCGACCGCCTCAGTTCCTTCTTCAGCAGCGCCTTCATTAAAGCGGCTGAAAAGGAGAAGGAGGTGACAAACCTGCAGCAGCAGCAGCAACATCAGCAGCAACAGCAGCAGGAGGAGGACGCGCTGCTGCTGCGGAGCCAGAGCCCTAGGGGTGCGTCTGCTGTCACCCCCCACAGAAGGACGCCAAGGAATGGAGGCCCAGCAGACAGACTCCATCGACAGCCTTCCTTTACTTCTGCTCAGTCTGCAACCAGAGGATTCCGGAGGATCCATGTAGAATTGCATGAGGGAGATGACGCTGCTGCTGCTGCTGCTGCTGCTGTTGCTGGGGGGCACGGCTCCGAAGACGGCCAGCCCCTGAGCCCCAAGAGCCATATTGGGCGAGCTCAGGCAATCGCCTTCATGGAAGGGAGCAGCAACAGAGCCAACAGCAGAAGCAGCAGCAGGCCTAGAGGAGACACTGCAGGGACTGCCGCGGCGTCCAGGGTCTCAAGAGTCAGCTCTTTTGCCTCAGGGGCTTCCGTCAGAACCCTCAGAAGCCCAAGGCCTGCTGCTTCTGATGCAGCCGCTGCAGCAGCTGCTGCTGATACTGCTGCAGCAGCAGCCGGTGGTGATGCAGCAGCAGCTGCAGCAGCTGCTGATGCTGCAGATGGTGGTGGTGCTGCTGCTCTAGAGGGCGGTCCTGAAGATGCTGCCGCTGCTATCCGGAAGACAAGCAATGCAGCAGTCACGAGGATACACCCACCACCGCCGGAAGCGCTTGTGGCTCCAGGAGCAGTAGAAACTTCTGCTGCTGCAGAGACTAAAGCAGAGGCAGATGTCGGTCCTTTGCAGAAACAGCTGCAGCAGCTGCAACAGAAGCAGCAAATCTCACGACGACTGGAGAGGCGCCAGGTGGACCTGCGGGAGTCTGGAGGGCCAACAAGGCAGGAACCAGTAGTGAAAATGGCGACGGGAGCACCAGGAGCACCAGGAGGAACAGCAGCACCCGCTAAGAAGTCCGCAGGTGTCGTCTCTTCATTGCGGCAGGCTGGAGCGCCACCAAGAGACGCTTGGGGACACAAAGAAGACACTTCAAGCGCATCTCTGCAAGAGCAGGTGGAAGAGGGGAGACCCCATGAAGGAGCTTCACCTGAGAGAGAAAATGAAACAGCTGCAATCCTCAGCAACGATATGGAGACCCTCCTGCAAAAGTACCTAGGCACCCAAACTCCGCAGACAGGAGACAGTCGTCTGGACACAGCAGCAGCTATTAACCAAAGAATAACAAGCAAATTGCCAGGATCCCCCCCCCTAACGAGACTCCGGGCAGCCGAAGGAGACAATGCAGTAGCAGCAACACCAGCAGCACCATCAGCAGCTGCAGCATCCGCAAGGACACCAGCGCCAGCAATACCAGCTGGAGTAGTTCCAACAGCAGCAGCAGCCCCGGGGGAGACAGGCCAGGGGTGGAGGCCTAAGGCACCTAGCGACAGCAGCTGGGCTGCGCAAGGAGGTAGGTCCCGAGGCAATATGGCGCACGCAGGATACACCTCCACATACACCGTACACATGAACCAGCAGAGAAGAAACAACTCAGCTGCCCTCCCCACACCAAAGACACCGCAGAAAGAGGGGCCAGCAGCAGCACCGGCGCCAGCAGCACCTGCAGCAGCATATATTGAAGGGACAACAGCCCCGCCCACAAACGCCTCCGGAGACACAGCACAACCAGAGCAACAACAAGAGCAACAAAAGCAAAAACAGCAGCATCAACAACAGCAACAGCAACCAATTGTCCGCCTGGGAACACGTGCAGGGATGCCTGCTCACATCATCACGGGGGTCTTGAAAGCTCCACCGAAACTGCTGAGTCCTGGAGGTTCAGGTGCCTCCGCTCATCTGTCTCCAACTCATATCGCGTTACCTTCTCCAATGTCTGCCGCTGCTGCTGCTGAAGCTGCTGACGTTGCTCGTGCAGGCGACAGAGCAGCCGGAGGTGAGAGTGGTTCCCTTGCGGATGTGCGGCAACAGAGAAAAGTGACTGCTGCAGTTGACAGCAACAGCAGCAGTAGCCGCAGCAGCAGACCGAAGGCGGAGGCTACTCGAGTCGAGAGCGAGTTTGTAGCTCTTAACTCTCCTGCTGCTGCAGCTGCTACTTCTGCTGTTGAGGATCCCCAGGAGACTGAGAGAGGAGAGGTACATGCAGCAGGGCCCCACCGCAAGCGGGTCTCCAGCGGAGACACCCCAGCAGAAAGCTGGGCAATGGCAGCTCCCAAGCTTAACATCAGCGCTCTGAAGGCCTCCTCGGCCTCGGGTCCAAGAGGGGAGACATAATTAGGAGGTAAACCTTTTTGTTGTTTGTTGCTGGTCCCCTTATCAGTATTTATTATCATTACTATTATTGTTAGAATTTGCATTCTTTAGTCTTATTCTTGTTATTACTGAGTATTATTGGAGTCGGCAACTCTTCTGTTGTTTGTTGCTGGTGCTCATAATAGTATTTAATATTACTACTATTATTGTTAGAATTGTCATTATTTATCATTATTACTTTTATTCATGATACTATTGTGGCTAAAAATATTACACGCTACTATTGGAGTAAGTGGGGACGGGCGTCGCCATTATTATTATTGCGATGAAGATTATTCCCGTTTTTGTGCAACTATTACTATTCTTTTTCTGATTAGTATCGTTGCAATTTGTTTATTATTACTGGTGTCACTATTATTGATTTATTTGAAGCGGGCGCTGCGCTGCACAGGCACCTAAAGCGCTATTGTTATATATTTTAAGCCCGCTGCGGCTATCCAGCAAATTCCATTTGATGGACGAGAAAAGATGCAGAACTACCTTCTTATGTTTTGCTGCCTGATCTCCTAAAACCATTTTGGTGATATCTGGGGCCTTGAGGAACAAATAGAAGGGCTGAGATTGACCCTATCGAGCGTTTACGCTAGCCCTCCGCTATCCAAACCCCAGTAGTTGCATTTCCTCACATATACAACAAATATAAAATTAACGTTGGAATGGAGGAAGTCTACAGTGGAGGGAGCTTGCCCCAGCAGCAGCAGAAGCTCGCGTGTAAGTGTGTGCATAAGACCGTCGGTCCGGCTCCCGAATTGGAGCGCTGCAGCAGGGACAGCCACCTGTCATCTTGCTACAAGTATGCGCTCTTTGGAGTTAAGAGCTTTTGCGTTTCCACACGAGTCACTGGTGGGGCCTCCTGCTTTGTCTGTTACAAGTTTATCTTCATCGATATTTTATAGCTGTATAGAGTTCTCCTGTGTGGTGTTGGCGAAAAAAAAAAATAAGTCGTTCAAAGCCTCCGTCTACGGTGTCAGCGCATGCAGAGAAAGGGGAACTTTGTGGGGCACGTGTGCTTGCATGAGCTCTTCTAAAAAAAGAGGCTGTAGCGAAGAATTGCTGTATCTCGTGGGCGACGCTGTTTGTCCTAATCTCTGTACCCCAAGAGGCCCCATAGCACTGAACATGATGGCCTCTATAACCGCCACTAATGTTGCTTTATTCGAACGGTATCTATTTTTTGCAATTCACAAAGCGTAAACCCTAGGGACGAAGGCTCAACTAACCCCACAAGACTGGCTGCATGCACCCGCCATAGGTGCACGCCAAAGTGCAGTTTCTGTCCCTCTTAATAGAACATACTTTTATGCTATTTCTTCATGAGACGGTCTGGAGCTGATGAGAGCCGCAGAGGTAACATAAAGCATACACCCCGGCTAGTAGTGCTGTCGCCCTCTGGACAAGGTGGCGGGAGCGGTGCTCCTTCGGAAAATGTCTTGCTGTTATAGATATGCAAATATACACGTAGCCTAGGCATAAATATATATTCATGGATATACCCTAAAAGCCCCCAGCTTTCTGTGAAGCAAGCAAGTACATGCACACGACTGCAGCCCTTGCTAGCACGGGTGGCCACCGATCTTCAGAAGCAAGGAGGCGTTACGATATTTTATCGTCGGTTTGCAACGGTACTAAGATGATAATTATTAGCTCGCATTGCCTAAAAGAGGAGCAAAATTTATAATTGGATGTCGTTAAGCAGCAGAACATCGGAAAAACAAAGCAGTAACAGCTTGTGTAGAGTGTTTATAAGAGAACAGCACCGGCTTGGGGAGCTGCTGCTGCTGCTGCTAGTTGCTGCTGACCCTTCAGCCACTGAAGGACATTTTTTCCTCTACTTGACTACTTATATTATCTGTTTAAACATTGAAAATTCTTTTCCCGGTCTTTTGTTGTTGCTTCAGAAGGAAGAGAAGCTCCGCCGGTTCAGGGGCTCGGCAACAGGGGCGCCGCTCCCTGCCACTGCTGCCGCTGCTGCTGCTGACGCTGCAGCAGCGGCAGCGGCAGCAGTGCCTGCTGCTGGTGACGCAGTTTGAGCAGGGGTGTTGTTTTGTTTTGCATTTTAGGAGTTAAAGAAGTGGGGGTTCTGAGCTGCTGGTGCTGCCGTTTCTTGTAGGCCGTTTGCATGGGCCTTGGGGTCCTTCCTGAGCTGCTCTGCAGCACCCGGCGCGCGGGATAGGGCCCCCGAGTTCATTGTGTGTATTATTTCCTTGATTTTCTGTTTTTTGTTAGCACGTCCTTTGCCAGCACTTGTTGTTTGTGCAAGTCCTGTCGAGGGACCCCACACTGGTGGTCTCGCGGGATCGAGCGATCCCGGAGAGGCTGCGGCTGAGAGCGCCGCAACGAGCCACGGCGTCTTCTTGCACGTTGGAGGAGGAGCTGGAGCATTTGAACGTCAGTTTGAAGATGAGGCAGTCTATTGCTGGCTGCTGCTGCGGCAGCACCAGCAGCGGCAGTTGCAGCTGTAGGAGTAGCAGCAGCAGCAGCTGCTGGTGCAGCAGCAGCATCTGCTGCTCCAGTAGCAATAACAGAGGGATTAGCCGGAGCATTCGCAGCCGGCGTGGTGTAGGTCTTCGCAGTCGGGGTGTTGTAGTCTTGTGTATTGTTGCATCTGCCTTGCTGTTTATTGCGTGCAATGCTGACGGAGTTAAGGGGTTATCTGGTAGCGAAGCTACACGGGAGGCGCCTGTGGCGACGGAGACGTTGCCTGGTGAGACGGGAGACGAGTCAAGTGGGGCCCGCGGTGTTGTGGATGCGACTTTGCATGCACCGGTGATGGCGGCAAGATCCACTGGAGGACGGAGTCACACGAAGAATGCTAGCACCAGAAGGTCAAGGAGAGAGACTTTTATAGCCCATGTATCGCGTGTGGCAGACAGCGGTCGTAGCCGAGCTCGCTTTACAACTATTCTGTTGATATGCGGTGTCTTGGCTGTATATGGAGCGACCCGGTGGTTGAACGCAGAGGAAGTTGCTGCTTCTGCCCGTGCGGCAGCAGCAACACGGCGAGAGGAGCTGCAGGAGTCTCTGAGCCAGTACGAAGAGAAAATCAAGGAATCAACCCTTTTAACAAAGGAGCTTGCCGACCGCAAGGCTGAGGCGGCAAGGAAGCAGGCAGAGGTGCAGGCAGCAGCGTTAGAGGCAGAAAAGGCGGAGACCGAGCTAATGGAACAATTAACATTGCAAGGCAAAGGAGGCGGGGATCTGCTGCTATTGGCACAGAGCATGGAGAGGGAATCCGAAGCATTGGAAGAGGAGACACGAGTGCTACAAGGGAAGCTTAAGGTGCTGCAAGACACAAGCCCTGGAAGTATGTCTGGGTTATTAAAACAGGCGTATGAGGAACAACGGCGAGTAGCTCTTAAAAAGAGAAGTGTGTTAGATAAGATGGCAGAGCTGGCTCTGCTCGAGTCCAAGTGGGGAGACGCTTTAAAAACAGAGGGGGGAGAATTGCTGCAGCAGATAGAAGAAGCAAGCCAGGAGTTGGAGGGCCTTAAGCTGAAGAAGCTCGAGATAAAGAGGGAAAAGCTAGAAAATGCCCAATTAGCTCTTTCCCTGGAAAGCAAGCAAGAGGCTAAAATGCAGCTGGAACAGCAGGTGCGACAGCTAAAGGGACAGCTGCAGATGAGGGAAGACGAGCAAGAAGAGAAGGAGAAGGAAGTTGCCGACCTCCAAGCAGGACTAGAAGAACTTAAGGACCAGCTAGGGGAACTACAGAACGAGATCCAGCTAGCCAAGGCGAAGAAGTCAGATTTGGAGTTAGATTTTGCCCGCAAGAGGAAGGCGTTCTTGGACGCTTTAGCGCCTCTAGAATCAAGCATTGCAGCAAAAGGAAAAGACAGTTCATGTCTTGCAGGGATACGAAGAGATGCAGGAGACCGTGTTACCCGCATGAAGGAACAACTCGCGTGCAAGGCGCTCGCGTCGGAGGCAGTACAGCAGCACAAGGAGCTAGAAGAATATGAGAAGAGGTTGGCAGAAGACCATGTGGCACCAGAACGGTCAAAAATGAAGAAGGAGCTGTCCGAAGTAGACAGATACCTCAGGTCACCTTCTTTAAGCGCTAACTCTAGGAAGGTGTTGGAACTGCGTAAGGAGTTCCTTGAGAAATCTATTAGAGAGGCAGCTGATAAAGCTCTGGAGGAGGCCCGAGGGGCCAATCAGCATCTGTTTTTAGCCCTAGAGGCTAAGTATATAGCGGAGCAGCAGGCAAGCCTTGAGGTCTTTAAGTACTTTGATAATCGTATAGAGGAGGAGCCCGATGATCCCGTTTTGATGGGACAATTCTTAAGAGCTCATCGCCAGTTTGAAACAAAAAGACTGGAGACTCTGCTGCTAATGGACAGAGCAGCAGATATTGCCCGAGAGCATGCATATGGACAGGAGATTAAATTACTCTTTAAAGACAACCAGAAACCTTCCTCTGGTCTTGCAGCAGAAAGAGCCAGACTTGAAGGGGTGCTAAGCGAAACAGAGGCGAGACTGAGAATCGCACAAAGAAGAAGGGCAAGAGCGCGCAAGGGACTCCTGTCTCTTCCTAGAGAATCATCCTCTCGATACAGCACCTCCACGGCCAAGGGCTCGGACGCCGACGTCACCGGGGCCCCTCGCTTCATTTTAAAGAGGAGACTTCAAGGGGAGATTACTCTTATTGCCTATTACAACGAGAAGATAAGGCGTACACATGAAGCCATTGAGAAACTAGAAGTAACTTATCCAGATAAAATAGCAGCAGCTAAGAAGGCTTGGGCTGCTATCCGCCAAGAATATATAACAACAGAGGCTCGGTTTGAGGCTGCAGGCGCTAGTGAGGAGGCTCTTAAGGCTGTTGGCGCCTCGCAAGCAAGCCTGGAACAAATGGAAGACTATGTAGACGAGGACGGATCAGAGCTCAAGGCAGATGAGCTCCTTAAAGACATTGTTGATGATGAGCAGGTCTCCGACGAAGAACTCCTCAACATACCAGATATCTCGTCTCCGAGTATCATCGAGCTCATACGCAGATTCGGAGATCAACCCCCTCCAGAAGATGAACCGCCTGCACCCCAAGTTGGCCAGCAGCTACGGGAAGCCCAGGAACAGCAGCAGCAGCCCCAACCAGAGCAACAGGAACAGCAGCAACAGGAACAGCAAATGCAAGAGCAGGCCCAACAGGATCTAGTTGTGGCTCAGCTGGTTCACCTGGAGAACCACGGGGAAGAGAATGAGCGGACGAAAGCGCATCAGGGAGAACAACGGGCGCAGCAGGAGGAACAGCCGACGCAGCAGGAGGAGCCGCAGACGCAGCACGACGCACAGCTTGCGCAGCAGAACGAACAGCCGACTCAGCAGGAGCAGTCTGTGGGGGAGCAGCAAGCGCCGCAGGGGGAGCAGGCGATGCAGCAGGAAGAGGAAGGGGAGGAAGAAGAAGAGGAGGACGAGGAGGAGGGAGAGGAGGAGGGAGAACAGGAGGAAGGGCAACAGGAGCAGCAGTTGAAGGAGACAGCGGGAGGAGAGGGACAGGGAGAGAGTGAGGAGGAAACGACTGCAGAGACACCAGTAGAAGCGGAGGCTGTAAAGGAGCATGCGGTGGGTGAGCGGCAAGCGCAGCGGGAGGAACAGCTGACTCAGCAGGAGCAGTCTGTGGGGGAGCAGCAAGTGCAGCAGGACGATGACCCGACCCAGCAGGAGCAAGCGCAGCAGGGGGAGCAGGGGGTGCAGCAGGAAGAGGAAGGGGAGGAAGAAGAAGAGGAGGACGAGGAGGAGGGAGAGGAGGAGGGGGAACAGGAGGAAGGGCAGCAGGAGCAGAAGGAGACAGCGGGAGGAGAGGGACAGGGAGAGAGTGAGGAGGAAACGACTGCAGAGACACCAGTAGAAGCGGAGGCTGTAAAGGAAACAAAGTGGAAGGAAGACACAGCCATAGCAGCAGAAATGGAGGCTGCATCAGAGGAGGAGACTGGTGACGAAGAGGATGAAGGGGACGAAGATGGCGAAGAGGAAGGACAAGAAGGGAGTGGAGTTTAAGGGAGAGGCGGGCGGGTGAAAAGGGGGAGGGGGGGGT